GGGGGGGGGGGGGGGGGGGGGGGGGATACAGGGGGCAGTGGCCCAGCTACAAGACACTCTAATTTATAGAACCATTAAAAACAAGCATCACCTCATTATTATTCCACAGTTATTGCAGAGGCAGCATTCAGATATAAGGTTCAGTCCGGTACAACTTTTCAGTCTGACTGATGCTCTATGTCATCATTTCAATTCAACAGAATTTCTTCTCGAAAGATAAACACACCCACTTTCAGACATTAAACTGAACTCAGGACTATGTTCAGAGTGCCTTTAGAGTTCCATATTTAAATCATTCTTATTTCACAAATCAATTAACACTGACCGCACCAATCACCTGTGTTTACTACTTCTGATGTCTGCAGGTCTGTACACTTCTAAGACGTTGAATATAAACACAATTTGCTCCGTCAATTATTAAACATGCTTTCACACACATTCAAATGTCTCACAGCTGTATCAGTAAAGCACTCATATACAGCTGCCAAAGCCAGACAAAATAATGACTGTTTTGACTATACGGTGATCTGCCTGCTTTCATCTGTGTAAGATATAAACACTTTTTAGAGTTATTTTAAAATTCAACAGCTGTTCAAACGCTGTTTTTTTTTCAAAATAATATTTCATAATTCAACATTTACATAAAGTGTCAATCACACAGACTCACTGATCTGGAATCAGTGAGAATTCCTCAGGGTGTAAAATATGAACGTTGGCATATTTCACTGAGGGATTTGCATCTTTAACAATCAGCCCTGATATGAGAGATCTTCTGTATATATTACATTGACTTTAGTGTGTGTGCTGTAGGAGCCCCTTGTGTTTTAGTTTTGTCAGGAGACACATCTGAGAGCATGTCATGCTCCCATCCATGAGAAGACACAAGTGGCTCCTGATTACAGCTTAATTAGCTTGTGTACCCGGCGGACATTACTGCAGGGGCTGGGAATTGGGTACTTGATGGACCCAAACATGACATCTTGAAACAATCACACTGCTGAGTGCACGCTGCTGTGGCTGCTTGACATCTGACTCCTCTGCTCCTCCTCCCTCTGCTCTCGCACACAGGTATCCAACTGGTTTGGCAACAAAAGGATCCGGTACAAGAAAAATATCGGCAAGTTTCAGGAAGAAGCCAACCTGTATGCCGCCAAGACCGCCGTAAACGCGGCACACGCTGCAGCCGCTGCAGTGCAGAGCCAGGCCAACTCCCCTACCACACCCAACTCCGGTAGGCCTTTCTGCATACAGAGAAAAAAAAAAAAGATCTGCCCTCTACCTCAGCTGTTAACCTGCTGCCTACCAGCCTCACTCTCTCATGCACCATTCACACAGAGAAGAGTGACAGGCTCTGCTCCCAGCTCGGGGATCACAGTGTCTCCTGTCTATAAGACAGTTGATGCCGAGCAAACTCATGCATAAAGAGAGCGTTCCTGACTTGTGAACCGAGAACATATGTATTTTTGGCAAAATAAAAAAAAAATCAGAAAGATGCCTTGGGATTTGTTTTCCCCTCGACTTTCTGTCAACTATATGTCATTTGTAATCTAATGGTATGTAGTCCCCCTGAACAGTAGTGTTGTTTTTCTGCAAAATAAACTGAAACATAATGGCTGGGAGCATTTTACCTACAGTAATAGTAGAATATCAAGATGGCATTTGTGCAGTTTATATTGAATAAGACTCATATAGAGATAAGAAGCCTTAAAAGGCGTGTTTAGTCCACTTTTTTCTGAGTAATGTGATGCTGGGTGTGGACTTGGTTGACCTGCGTCGGAGTGTGGTAAGCTTATGAAGTGGTCCCTTTTTCTTGCACCCAGGATTCCAGATGAAAGATGAAGAGTTTCAGCTGGATTCTGCCGAGAGCAAAAACACTCTTTTAACCAACATGTTTACTGGTACTGGTCTTTTCATAAGCTTCTTATTGTCCTTGTCATTTACCATGTGATACCTCCCTGCCAAACCTTAGATTGGAAGTAGGTGATGTGGAACAATTGGGAGCTTAAGCGACCAAACCCGCATATAGAACCGGTCCCCTCTGTGTCATGTGATTTTCATTTCATTTGTGTCCATCGCATTTAGAAAAAGAAAAAAATAGATCCTCTTGACTCCCTCATATCTTGTTCTTTTTCCCTTTCCTTCCTTCACCCCTGTAGTTGCTTGCTTTATTGGAGTCTTTCTTTCGTGTATTTTTCTGCGTGCGTGGTGTGTGTGTGTGTCTCTGTGTGTCTGTGCTTTCCCCTTTTATAGCCTTTCTCATGTATTCAGCTACTTACATCCTCCCTTTCCAGGTTCTTCAGGTTCTTTTAACCTCCCAAACTCTGGGGACATGTTCTTGAGCATGCAGAGTCTGAATGGGGATTCTTACCAAGGGGCACAAGTCGGAGCCAATGTACAGTCACAGGTAGGATCCACGATCGGGGACAGTCCCTGACTCTAGCAGTGCAGAGAGCTGTCCTTGTCTTGCCTGTGTACTGACTGAGCCATCCACAGTGCAGTCTGAAGCACATCCAAAAATAGACCAATAAGAAAGACACGCTGCTTCATGCGAGGGCAGTTCAAAATAACATCACGAGGCCGCCTAAAACCTCCGATTGACTCAAGTGTTTACCGACTATTTCGCTTTGGATGGAATATTTTGGCAGCCAAAATATAATCCCACCCCACAAAGCAATTCCCCTAGTTTCTACTCAAACATTCAAAGTAACCATTTAGTGAATGCATTTGGCTTTGACTTGAACTCTTGGGTTGGTATTGGGTTTTTGGTACCGTGTTTTCCCCCCTTCTTTTCTGTATTTTATATTGCAATCTTCCTGTCTCATCTTGTTATTGTGTGTTGTTGATGTCTTCCATTTTGTAAGTTTAATGCAGCTGCACAACTGACACATAATCACTACCATGCACTTAGGAAAAAAAAAACATGCTTAGTCATTTTTAATGTAAAAATAATGCTAATTTAAAACAGGAAGTGTATTTGATGCATAAACACAATCTAAATAAATAATGGATTTGAGCATGTGAGTAAAGTCAGTATGCCTTTGTATTAGAAAATACAGCACCAGAAAAAAATTAAGTGACCACTGCAAGAATGTTTCTCTCCAGTTCTTCTTTTTATAGGTTTGTGTTTGAGTAAACAGGAACAGTTTTGTTTTTACTGTATGAAACATTTCTTAACTGAAATACTGTCATGAAGGTATTTTATTTTCAGAATATGACAACTGATTAAGATAACAAAGCAGACAAGTGATGCTACAAACAGAATCAAAATGTTTTAAATTAGGAATAGTTTAGAATTCAATATTTGGTGGAATAACTTTGATTTTCAAATACAGCTTCCATGCTTCTTGGCATTTTCTCCACCAGTCTTTCACAATACTGTCTGGTGATATAAGGCCACGCTTAGTTTTACTCAATGTATCATCAGGTTATCACATAAACAGTACCTCCGTAAGTAGAGCAAGTTGAAATTCAACAAACACTTGAGTATATTAGCTTCCACATGTATAAAGACGGAGATTGAAGGAACCTTTGAAGTGGTCTGATAATTTTTTTTTAGGAGCTGTATGTTAGCTGTGTTAGTGCATTTGCTGCAGGACTCCCTTTGTGATTTCACACTAGTCAGTATCTGTTGCTTCACTGAGCATGTTGCACAGTTAGTTAAGTGTCGACCGGCCTCGGAGACAACAAGTTGACCGCCTTGTCCACCTTGTCTGTCCCCTCAGGTGGATACCCTGCGCCATGTTATCAGTCAGACGGCAGGATACAATGATGCTCTGAGGGGAAACACCATGTACAGTCCACATGGCTTAAATGTAAGTAGATGTTTATTCATTACAGTCTAGAAAAGGTTGAGGCAAAGGCTGTTATTAAGTTATTCTGCTCCTTGGTTTTTTCTGTGATGAGAAGCAGTGCTTTATTTAACATTACACACACACGTGCCAAATGAGAAAAGATAACTTAGTATGAATTTAAGTGTTAATCTTTAACACGTCAGGTGAAAACAATGTCCAGCTTTACTGAAATAAACATATTTTAATACTTGGTTTGACTCAAACTTTAAGATGGGAAAAAAGCAGATTTTTCTCTCTGCTTGGTATCTATTGCATTTAGCTGTTTAGAAATGCTTCACAGAATTTTCCATAGCCTTATCTCCATGATAAAATATGAACATGTGATCGCCTGCAGCTCTTTCCAGACATGAATTCCATCTTCCTTGATGAGGTTTGATATGGCGCCTTTTTGTAAAGCAGCACATAATCTGCAGCTATCAGGGTAAAGATTAATTTGGTTGATGAGAGAGGATGAGGAGCGAGGGGAGGGGAATAATATCAGACAGCTTCCACTGTATCAGAAGCTCAGTGTTTGCTCTCTTCATATTGTCATGCCTGTTGGGTATAATACACGCATCTTCACAGTCGAATATTATTTAAAGCTTTAGCATAAAAAAAATAAGGCGTTAGATTCACAGCAGTGTTACTGGAAATCAAGAAAGTGATTTTCTGCAGAGAAAATTAACACATTCTATGTAAACAAATGGTGGGGGCTGATGCCAGCGTTCACTGCTTTTGGTGTCATTTTGGCTTTGCTGAAGCCGTGTTGCTATAAGCTCTTTAGACATGTCAGCTCCTACCAGGATCAAGTGTTTTTCACTTTCTCACAAGGTTTCTCACTTCCATGCGCAGTGTAGACCTGTGCCCAGTGGCTCAGCACGGCTCAGTATGATCCTCACTAAAACAGCAACTGACGGCACTGAACAGCCTCGACACATGAAGAGAGGGAAACAGAACACAAGAGGAAGACAGTACCAACACATTTTGCTTCATTCCAATGCTCGTGTTTCGTTGCAAGAACCCTGAATGTGCTTTATAGATGTATTAGCATAGCCTAACCTTTAGCTTTGTTGGCGGTGACGTAGAAAGATCCAGTAAAGGCTAGGTCACGCCTGGAGCGAAGCAAAGTCAGGCTGGCTAAGACTGGCTCTCTGGGAGAGGCCCTGCCCTGTCACTTCCACTCAGCTCTCTCCACCTCACCCGGCCCGAGCCCTCCCTCTCCCTGACTGACAGCAGAATATGTAGCGACAAGCTGTCGGCCGCTGCAGAAATCTGCTTAGACGCTGATTTCAGGGAGAGCTCCCATTGGTCGGGACACAAGACAAATTTGTTTCCTGAGAGTGTCTTTGCTGATGCTACTGTAATGCAAAGGACTCATCACACAGCATCAGTGTGTGTGAGAAACATTTTAATGGCAGCTGACTCAACCAGCGTCTATGTCTTGTTTCCATCTTTGGAGAGTTGTGTTACATTTTGGGAGTGAAAATGGAGCAAGATCATATTGCAGAGTACAAGATTGTAATCTCAACCCTTTTTCCTATTTGTGTCCCAGGCTAATGGAGGGTGGCAAGATGCAACAACTCCGTCTTCTGTAATATCTCCAACAGAAGGACCAGGAAGTGTGCACTCGGATACCTCGAATTGATCTGCTATTAATGCATCTGCGCCTCCAGATGGGCAAATGGACTCTTTGAACAAGAAAACAAAAAAAAAAAAGACTTTTCACGACAGATTTGTTTCCCTGTTCCATCCAATGTCAAGCAGATTCCACGCAATTGGACATCATCCATTATTAAGTGTTTCCTGATTGTTCAGTGGTTTCTTTCTGTCGTCATGAATCATCATGCTCTTATTTGTGTGTTGTAGGGGTAAGCACACACACGTGCAAACAGATCAGTACATTTTGAGGATGTGTACTTTATATACTACTTTACAATCTATTCAACACTTTTTAAGACGTTTTAATTTGTGTGATTTCTGGTTTAATTACCGCTTTCCACTCTCATAATTGCGTTCTCATTCAGATCATACAATACACAGATTCAAGCAGCTGTTTCTTTGACTGTAATGTGCTCGCAATCTTGTCCAGCAACTCAACAATGCTACCGCTGACAGCTCCATGGCAGCTTTGTAGTTCCTTTCAAGATTTATTTTTGCCTTACAGCTGTATACATTAGTCGAAGGAAATCACTATTCAAAGTCTGGAACATAAAGGAGTGTAATTGATTGCTTGACTTTAACATGACACCATTCCATATTTTATAATTTGATGTTAAGAATGTACATATGTAAACATTTTTTTTTATTTGTACTTGCTTATCAAACAAATCCCCCCCCCCCGAACAGTAGATCATCCCGTCAGCGACCGCACGCAGGAGCCGGCCCCCGTTACACAGGAAAAGTTGTACATAATATAGCTTAAGAGTAATTATACATCCAACCAATCAATACACAGCTTTATTACCTCATTCAAATTCATACACCCATTATTTCCAACATTTCTGTAGCTTAGAGTGCTCACTTACTACCTCTAAACAGCATCACCACCACACTTTGTTTTGCTCTAATTTCCTGTTTTGATGAAGTTCATTGGATTCCATCTCGTAACACTGTAAACTCTTCATTCTCTATGTAATCTAATGTATATTTTAATCTTTTAATAAAATGCTGTGGCCGCACAGCGACGTAAAAATGACAAAAATTAAACAATGAAAATGATAACAATATTAATACCATGAGAAATGGACGGGGAGAGGGAGGGGGAGGGGAGGGAGGAAGTTGTTGGTTTGTGGCTTTTACGAGGGGTTGCGATGAACATTGTTGATAAATTAACACCAAACAGTAAAACTGTTGTAAATACTGAAGAAGAAGAAGAAAAAAAACATTTTGAATGTTGCTCATCTTGTTACTAAATCATGCAAAAAAAGAAAAGAAAAACTGAGTATAAAAAGTGTAATGCATAGAGGTTTCAGTATTCAGAACTGTACATTCTGAGCTCTGTTCAACAGGGTGCAAAACTTCTTTTCTCTTTTTTCTATTGTATGTGATTCTGAAACGGAAAAGTCATGACAAATGATTTGTGGCAGTGATTCTAATGTATTAAAGATGTTTAGTGTTTCTTTCTAACCAGACTACGCCCTGGACTGAAAAGTCTTCCTTGTGGTAGTTGTGTGATTTCAAACATGAATAAACCTTTTGCTTTCATGACAGCAGGTTGCGCCTCTATTCATTGATGTTTTTTTCTGTTTTTTTTCTCCACACTACTGTAAGTGTTACGTTTGCTTCTTACCAAAACTTCTGCATCGTGTGATTTTAAATGTTGTGTTTTCATAGTTTTTCTAACTTCATAACGCACAAATTCACCCTTATATTTCAAATACGTGTTCACCTACATGCACTCATCTCTGCACATCGAAGCTCCTGTTTCACACTGCTGAAGGTAAAGACTTAACCTGGTTTGCAGCTACTGCCATGCTGACATGGTTAGTGCAATTAACTGAAATGTCAGGCACTTCTAATTCAGGCTATTTGGTCTGTCTGTTGTGGAAAGGCTGCCTTAATGGATCATTGGTTACCAATTCCACACAGAGATTGCATCCATTTATCCTCATTTTCTCTGCAGAGTTCTTCATTTCTGTCTTCCTCCTGTGCTCACGTCCACTGTTGTGTCTCACGCACAACACACACACTAACACACACACAATATCAGCAGAAGGCAACAATAGAGAATAGTATCCCCACTCGTGGTGTGTTTGCATATCTGGAGGGCTAATTGTTTTGATTTCAACAATGAGAATAGAAGATAGAATAACAATAGAACAGAAAAGAGATGTAACATCAGAGCACAAGTTGAATTCAAGCACAAAGCACAGACGGTGTCTCCGGAGAGAAGATTTGTCCACTCAACCAGTGCAGAACTTCATTGAACACCTTTCTCTGCTAATCATATCTTTATCCTGATATTACACACTCGTGCCAAATACTCCCACATGCATGGAATAGCACATTTTTTTCCACAGAATTTTTAAGTACAAAAAATAGTGTATCATAGCCTTTTACTACTGTGTGTTGTTATGATTAATTATAATAGAATTAAGGGTTATTTTAAACTATTTTAAATATTTTTTTAATTCACACAAAGTGAACCTGCACAAGCTTTAAAGCCCATTCTTTTGGAATAAAGATGCACTGTGCATGTGGATGTGCATACTTTTTTCCTCTAAAAGGACTTAAAGTAGCCCTGCACTGCACTCCTCTACCATTTGGATTAAAATCCACTTGCTCACTCTACCTTTACAAATAGATACATTTACCTCCTCAAGACTTCAACTATTGGCTTTTAAGCACTGCACTCAGCAGAATTGGCCTGAGAACCTCTTCAATAAAGAAGTTACATTTTCTGAGATTACGCCTATTACAGATTTTTCTAGGGTTCATTAAGGACGACATTTTCTAAGTAAAATTCACCATGAAAAGCATGCATCATTAAATATGGAAATCCAGTGTTATATTAGCAATATGTGCACAGCTAGTGCCAATTAAATTAGAGAGAGATATCATTTATATTATTAAGGTAGAGTTCATATTGAATTAAATAGAAAATCTAATTGTTTTTCCCGGTTTGATTTATAGCTCATAGTGCGTTGGTCACAGAACTAAGTTTTACTGGATTTTAATACAGAGATTGTTTGTATTAAAATGGATAAAGCTGTAATAGTATCACACAGCTGCTAAATTAAATGGTAAGGAGGTTTAAACTGAAAATCATACGCATGTATGTATCTGTTTCTTATTCTTATATATGACTCTGTTTACAATAATGTACGCATGAACCCCTGAAATCATCAGAAGTGTCTGCAGCTACTTTGTTCTTCAGTTATGGTTTCACTGACTGTTGCTTTTTGAAAGCCTCATAAAGGTGAATCCCAAACAAATTAAATAAATAAGTATATAGTGGTATAGTAGCCTAGTGGTTAGTGCGTGCACCCCACGTACAGAGACTCAAGCCGTCAAAGTGGGCGGCCCAGGTTCAAATCTGACCTGTGGCTACTTCCCTGCATGTTATTCCTTGCTCTCTCTCTCTCTCTCTCTCTTTGATTTATGACTATCCACTGTCCTAAAATAAGGCATAAAAAGCCTAAAAATAAACATTTAAAACAAAAGTATTAACGGAGTCAAAGACATGCAAAATGTTCAAGCCTCAATCTCAGTTTCAAGATTTGGACTACACAAGGACAAATTTGTTCCTTATAGATTTGAGTTCATAGAAGTGATTTTGGAGATATTTCAGATAACAGGCTATTATGAAATCTGCACTTCAAGATTTGATGTATTTGCCTGTAGCAAACAGCTATCCTGACCAGTATCACTCTACTGACTCTAAAACACAAACTGTACTTGAGATGCCAAAAACAAATCAAACCAATTCCATGCGAAGAAGAAATGTAGAGGCCCACAGCCACTGAGACACGTATATAATAACAACATTTAAAAAATCAAAGATGAAGTGTTGCAACATTATTTACGTTTCAGTTAGTTCTATAGGATCAATTTGAGTTTTGGTTCAATACATCAGCATTCAGACACAAGCTTGTGGCATGTGTCTGGAGACAAGACATGGTGCAATAATGCTTTCATGATCAACATGGGTCTTTAGTGTAGATGTAGATAATAGGTGTTAAAATATTACTTACCTTTGATCTAAATACCCCCATTTAGCATTCATTATCACACTTTTAAAGTTTAAAAAAATGCTTTCTTACATACTAAAATGCTGAGTATATATATATATATAGAGAGAGAGAAACTGTTTATTTTTGCAACCTTGTTTGACGATACAATAATTCGTTATTTGTCTATACACCAGCACTTGTCTATAATTGAGGAGGAGTTTTATTTTGAAAAATACATTTATAAACAACAGCTTACACTGATAACAACTATATAGCATGTTTGCCACAACCACCATGGGAAGCTGGGAGGGTTAGTTTGATATGTGCTTGGAGGTCTGATTTTACCTCATCTTCTGTGCAACACTCTGGTGAACCTGTATTTGACACATCACTCTGTAATGTCTGCACAAACACAATACAAGATTTTGAATAAAAACAAACTTTTTAGCTTGTTTTATAATTATAAAACTATTAAATGCTTACTACTGTTTATGAATGTATTATACATTTATAAAAAAAGGTTTATGATGGGTGTAATCCTGCAGTAAGAAACGAGTGGAAACAGGTGAAATAAATCACTCAGAGTGGATCTGTCCCTTTAAGTTTCTACAATCAGTAAAATGAGTAACACAAAGATTTAATGTTTCTCATCTTAGTGTGTCTGATTTAGGGTTAGATGTTAAAAAAAAATACTTTGAAAATGATGTTGATCTGCAATCACGTGCTTTTCTAACTAACTGAAGGTAAAACATGTTACAGTAATAAGCTTCGTCAAGGCTTTTCACAGATATAACATAAATTTTAACAGATCTGGTGCATTAACTTTTGTTTCGTCTGTCTGGTCCTGTACAGATTATGATTTTGCTTTGTGAGAGCTCTCTGCATGAGACGCTCATAAAGCCACAGACCTGAGCCCGAGAGTAGAGTACAGTAGTTTGATTTAGTGAGCAGGAGTATAATGGAGCCGAGACTTTCTGCACTGATCTCTGCAGCAGCTCTCACTTCTATTAAGAGATGAGTCCTGAGTGGCCTTTGAGCTTAAAACAGTGGAGTTAATTAACATTTGATCCTAGCTCTCCTAACATCTTTACAAGTTCATTTTCAATTTCATTTCCCCCCCATTTTGGCTCAGGTAGATTGCTTTAGGATCACCATGCAGCCTCATCTCTGAACCGATGGTGCTGAAGCAGGCATGTGAAGGCTTGTGACAGGAGACAGATGTTTTGCCTTACCTCTTAGCAGACGCGTGTCAGCAAGCAAGGGCTGCCTTTGTGCTGCTCAAATACACTGACACCAAATCTGAAAACAAAAAGAGAAGAGCCAAAAGCACAGGTAAATGTCTTTAGATTTGTATTCTTCTCTTTCACTCATAAAAAACCTGCACACAAATCAATATCTATATCTCACTTTACTAAATGAATTAGGGCATTTATTCATGATGTGGGCCTTCCTCATGCAGACTTCATAACAGAGCCAATTCAAACAATGCAAGTGAGACAACTAAAGCAGATCAGATGTTACTTCTCGTATGCAGCAGAGTTTTAAGCCCTAAAGGTTCAGGTGCCGTGATATAAAACGTATAGTGGTGACAGCTTCAAAATTCATTTGATCTGTAGAATGTTGCATCTGCTTTTGATTACCATGTTTCCTATATGGACTGATTCAGTTTCAGTTTGTTATTAGGACAAGATACTCAAACTACTGGCCTGTATTAAAAACATGTTACTCTCCAAGTGACTTACAGATCTTAAGTATAACATGTAAATGAAATCTCCTGGGTTTCTAAAGCCATCCAGGATTCTGCCTCCTCTCTTCTTCTTCTCTCTCCCCTGCTGTGTCTCGTCTGTCTCCCTGTCTTTTCCAGGATATATGTCCCGACAGCCAAAAACAAATGATCCTGTTGTCAACTTCTGGAAAAAAGATAAAGCGGCTGAACCAATTTGTTATCCAAGATTAGGCAAGTGGGTCATTGAATAAGTATCCCAGACAAGAGTCGAAATTCATTTACAGGCTTTAGAAAAGGTAGAAAGTGACAGGTCCCCCTAAAGTGACAACATGTTTGTGAATAGATTCCTCTGATGTTTTCTATTCTCTCTTACTAAACATAAAGTGGCTTGTTAAATATCATTTGCTACATTTTCTTGCGCTGGAGGTGGGAGGATTCGAAGTGCGACAACATGCTTAGAAAGATTATCAGAAGCTTCTGTGAGTGTTCAGAGTAGTTAAAGAAAGTCTACAGTCAGAGATATACCTGGATGAAAACCCTCATCAGTGTTTACTGCTTCAATAACTTTATATCTTTCAGACAGGTTGAGCAGCTATTTTTTCATTTAAATGCCTATTTCAATATGCACAGGGACTAAACAACGTTTGTTCTGTCCGGCATGTGCTCACTGTTTTTTTGTGTGTTGCATGTGTCAGGTGTTGAGGCATTCTAACTATTGCCAGCGTAGTTTGGCATTAAGAGCGTGGATTTTATACTTAAAGGAGAAATGTATAACTCTGACACGTAGTGTTTAAAATGGGTACTGCAGT